TAATAATAAGATACGTCACAAGCAACCATGGACTGCCGGGGGACATGATCTCCGACAGAGGAAACACATTCGTATCCAAATTCTGGAAAGCACTCACAGCCAGATTAGGAACGAATCACAAGGCCAGCACAGCCTACCACCCACAGACAGACGGACAGACGGAAAGGATCAACCAAATAATTAAGACCTATCTACGCTATTACATCAATTTCAAGCAAAACGACTGGGTAGAACTCCTCCCCGTCGCACAACTCGCTTACAACAGCACGGAATCAGAATCAACTGGGAAATTACCGTTCTTCCTAAACTATGGATTCGAACCCGAAGCCTACCGACCGCCAAGGCAAGGGGAAGATGTCGAAAAAGCCATAATCAAGGCAGAAGACATAATCGAATTACACGACGAACTGCGACGACAACTTGAATTCGTCCGACAAAGGATGATCAAATACGCAGACAAAAACAGGATTAGAGGACCAACCCTTCAGGAAGGGGACATGGTCTGGCTCCACCGACACACACGAGGAAACAAGCAAGCAAACATTAAAACAAACAGGCTAAGCGACAAACTCGATTTCAAGAAACTTAGACTTTATAAAATTTTAAGAAAAATCGGAGAAGTAAACTATGAACTTGAACTTCCAGAACGACAGGAAAAACAAGGAAAACATATGCATCCAATATTTCACATCTCCCTGCTAGAAAAAGCACAAATCGACGAAGAAACTGGAAGATTCATCCAGGACGAAATTATCGTCGAAGGAGAAGAAGAAGAATATAAGGTAAAAGACATCGATGCAATAAAAACAGGAGAAGACGGCAAACGACGCTATAGGGTACAATGGGAAAAAGGGGAAGAAAAAGAAGAAACATGGGAACCTATTAAGCATCTTAAGAACTCAATGGCGCTGGTGGAAAAACTCCATCAAAGCCTAGGGATCGTGCCAGCTCAGGATCCATCGACAACATCCCCAAATAATCCACTGATTCCAAAGAAGCAGGGACGACCTCGGAAGAACCCTCTGCCGACTGCGTTATAGCAGCCTGAAGAGCGGCCTCCGCCTCACGCTCCTTCTGCTCCAACTGCTCCAGCTCCGCCAAATTGTCGATACCCCGGGACACCGCACGCGCCGCCTTTTTAGACCATTCCTTACGTTGTTTCCGAAGACGAACAACTTTAGCCATAAGATTCGCGATTTCCTCTTCGACGGCTTCGACCTCACTGTCGAGCTGGTCGCACCGATGGGAAATACGTAATAATTATTAAGGTGTGAGAAACGCCTCACAATGAGATTTGTAATCCTCAACACACTTCAAGCAGCGACTCAAGTCAACCTCGGAAGCTAAACACTGGGATCCCTTCTTTTCGCAATAGAAGCAGGGTTTCATCTCGACGGATTGCAATAATATAAAAGCAGCAAGTGCCACACTCCTGTTAAGTTTCTTCTTCTTTCCTTTTATATTAGCTAAGTCAGCAGATTTTTAAACGCGGAAAGTCATTTTGGCGACGAACAGGTAACAGAACAAGAAGAACACCTACAAGTAGGAGGTGTAGATACTTATATGCTAGATCACCTGGTCTTGGGGACAAGACCAACAGGAGGGGGAGAATCGTGTCACAACCCAGCTCTTATGGTCGCAACAAGGGGCCTACAGGGTAGGCACTCCCGGATTAACGTCGGGCCGCGCAGCCAATCAGGAAGCGGTCGACGGGAATCAACGTCAATTCCAATCGACGCAGGAACGAATCAATTAAGATCATGAGCGATTCCACTCGACTCCAGAATACACGACTGGATATATAAGTTCACTTCAT